CAGCTGAGCTACATCCTAGCCCACCACGGGGATTCTGAGTTTGGGCAATGCATTTAACCTCTCTGAGCCTCAGTTTCCCCAGCTGAATAAAAGAGTATGGTACAGCAGAGTTGTTCCAAAATAAGAAGATGCATATAGAATGTTCAACATAATTTTTATTTTATTAATTACATGCATGTGTGTGCGTTGTGAGTGAGCATTCACGTATATGTGAATGGAGGTGCTGGCTGGGGCCGGAGGATGGTTTTGGATGTTGGTCTTCGCTGTCTACTTTGTTTAACTCTGGGCCTTTTGCTTGCTTGCTGCTGCTGTCGGTCCAGCTGGCCCATGAGCTTCCAGGGAAACTTCTGTCTCCGCTTCCCATTTTCCTGTAGGAGGGCTGAGCTAACAGACACGTTATGCATCCGTCTTTTATGTGCATTCTGGTGATTCAAGTGCTTTTAGACAGCAGGTGCTTTTGCCAGGCGTGCTGTCCTCCGAGCTTCTCCGCACAGTGTGCAGTGATGCCTTTATTATTCTCTGACGTAAGCGGAATCTGAACGGAGAATGGCTGATCCGCTTCCCAAGCAATCTCAAGGCTTCCACCAGGGAGGGGACTCCACTGAGGAGCAAACCCCTCCAGACCATTGATCCAGGCCTAGGTGACAGCTCCCCCTTTTCAGAGAAACCTGTTTGTCATGGCCTTACTCACAAGTCACTTGACATCTGCCTCAGGCCTCTTGCATGTCTGTGAGGGTCACTTCCTTCTTTTCTTTAATCTCACTAACTCAGAACAGGGATGTGACCTGCTCTGTGGGGTTTTCCTCCGACAAGCACTTCTGTGATAACCCTCTGGACATCTCACAAGTCAGTTCAATTCCGACATCGACTGGAGTTAGCACAAACCCCAAAGGCTAGGGCTCGGGCCCACAAGACTGAGTGAACCGTGTTTCAGATGACAGTTGTAGGCAGCACATTCCCAGGTTAACCACTTGGGTTAACCAAGTTAACACTTGTTAACCAAGGTTAACCAAGTTAACACTTGTCTCACTTGGTTGCAAGTCATGGATTCCCAAGACTCCCTTCCCTGACTGCATTATTTGGTAGAGTAGCTCACAAAATCCAGGAAAACATTGTGGTAAATGGCTAAAGGCTCCAAACAAGCAGTCAGGTGGAAAGACGCATAGGTGAGGTGTAGCTGGGCCCCTAGTACGGGAGCTACTGTCCTCATTAAGCTGGTGTACATCACCCGTCTGGCACATCGGCTGTGAGCTGTCTGAACTGCATATTTTAGGATTTGAGTAGAGATTTCACCACACGGGCATGATTAATGAACACAGCCTCCAGCTGCTTTCCTCTCTCTGGAGGATGGGGGCTGGGAGGATAAGGCTGAAAGTCATTCAGGTGACGAGCCCCCGTCCATGAGCCCACTAAGAACCATCTACAATGCTTCTGCTTCCAGGGAAAGCCGGGAGGTCAGTGATAGTCTGTGACTAACACTGAAGACCACTGAGAACCACCTATGAGGACAAAAGATACACCGGCAGCGTCCCCATTGCTTGAAAATTAACAGTTTTAATTATGCGCCAGGATCCAAAGACAAAGCTCTCTAAGTGTTCATATTTTATTATAAATCACAATATCCTAGAATGAACTACTCAAAGACCAGAGCACCCCACCATTTTGTATAGATAGACAGAACCAGAAGCCAGATTCAAAGTTTGGCTTCAAGGTGTCCTTGGGTAAGTGATTTGCTTCCTTGAACTTCACTTGGTTCATCTGAAAAAATCCTCTCATGCTGGGGACGTAGCTCAGTGTGTAATGAGCTCGTTTTGCATGTATGAATCTCTGGTTTTGATTATTAGCAGGGAATAAATCTGGTATGGTGGAACACACCTATAATCCTAGTTAGTATTCAGGTGAGGGGGGACACAGCAGGATCAAGTTCAAGGTTCTTGGCTACATATAGCCCAGGCTACATGGGACTCTGTCTCAAAAGTAAAGATATAGAAGAACAAACAACAACAACAACAACCCTCTCCTAACATGAGGCTAAATGACCATGTTAGTGTTAAGCTTGGTAGTGAATGAATGTAGTTTCCCCTCTCCTGCTTTTGAGACATGATTGGAGATTGGACTGTTATTTTGCCAAGGAGCCAAGCAGACAATGTCAGACACAGATTTCCTGAGTTCTGAGATGGGGGCTTGGTCCCCAGATGACTCTTTGCTCAGCTCGCCCCAGGAGGGCCTGCTCTGGGTTTCCTACCCCATAGGTACTGGAGGGGGTGGGGAGTCACAGTATGTAGGAGGAAGGCATTGTCGTAGCCAAACACTGTGAGTCCCTTTTGGGAGGGAGAGGCTGTGCCCTGACCCTGTGAGGGGAGGCGTGTCATGGCCGTCCATGTTTGCTCTGCTGGAGCTTTGGAGGATCCGTGGCATTGTTACTTGAGGCGTTGGCCCCAACCTGCTTGTCAGCCCCGGGAGGACTGGGGCAGCATCACCCCAGGCCTGGCAGGTTCCATTAATCACCTTTTTGTTAGTTTTGATCCTTCAGTGAGAGAGCCAGAGCTCTTGCTTTGGGCTGAATCACGCCTTTCCAGCAAGAGAGCTGAGCCATCAGTTTGAGATGGGAGGGCCGGGTAGGGTCAGGGGTCAGCCCAAATCCTGAACTCACCATGATGTCTGAGCACCCCAGTACACCCTGGGTCTTGCTCTGGCAGGACCACCTGCCTCCTGGGTGAACATGGGTCCACTTCCCTGCCTCTGAACGCAAAGGTGACAAGGCCCAGACTCAGGGCTCTCTTTTCAAGTCTTGCTGAATCAGCATAGGGGGTTCTTGGATGGCTTCACACCTGTGCCATCTCTCTTCAGCCCTGCCTGGTAGCACCCCAGACCATATGCTTCTGTGCTACCTAACCCTGCTCCTGAGGAGGCCATTCACAGTAACTGTGGCCCATTGGTGTGGGGAAGGCTCGGGGCCTGACTGAGGTCCTTCCTTCTCAGCCCTGGGAACATCTTTTCTATGACAGGTTCTGAGAGGGCTGGCTCCTCAAGATCTTTTATTCCAGCTGGAACAGCAAGGCCTCCTCCAACAGTGACCCTGTGCTGTCCCTGAGCTTCGTAGCTACGCTCTGGGAATCTTCAGAAAAGACCCTAACCCTTGCCCTGGAGACATTTCTCTCTATATGTGTCTCTCATATGTGTCCAATGCTTACAGACTGAAGCAGATATCATGAGAGAGGGCCTTGCTCAGGAACCCCCGAGCCTCTGCAGATTTGAAAGGAGCCCCAAGACAGCCAGAATAATGGAATATTAACCCCAATGTGTGTACTCAGCCCTGTAGACCTCTGGGGTGTGGAATTCATCGCTGCAAAGACTTTCCTGAGCATTAATGACACCCCTGATCTCTACCCTCTGCACAGCAGGACTACCGCCCAATTGTGGTAACTCAAACAACTCTAGACATTGTTGAATGTCCTCTGGGGGAGCCAGGTAGCTTCTGCTGGAGAACCTATGGACTCATCTGTGGTGACAGAGGTTGGAAGAATGGTTTGATTAGGGTTGTGAGCTATGGGTAGACACCCAGGAAAGGTACCATGAGCTTACGAAATGCTGGAAAGTTCTGGATATTGGTTGCACAGGAGCATGCATAGGTGACAATGAAATTGGACAACACTCAGGGTTTGTGTACAACTTTATTGTACACAAAATAGACCTACAATGAGCCCTGGAGGCAGGTGGAATCAGCCTCGGGATTAATTTTAGATTCTACATTATGGCTCAGGTCTCTTGTGTGTAAAGTGGGGGATAATGGAGAAGCTGCCTCCTGGGGCTGCTGCTAAGATCAGTGAAACTGAGTACAGGGCTGGTGAGATGCTCAGCAGGTCAGAGGTTCATTCCTGGGACACACACGGTAGAAGGAGAGAACTGACTCCTGACAATTGTTCTCCGACCTCCACAGCGCACACCACAGTCTCCCCTCGGTGCACAAAATAAATAAATGCGACTGGAAACTGAGCGTAAAGGTGCTGGGTTCTAAGCCTATTAGTGGGGTTACTTTTTCTTCCCATGTCTCAGTTTTCTCAATTACGTTTTCTTTCTGGGGTCCCTTAGGGTCTCTTATTAGTGTTGCTTTTTAGAACCATTTCTTAAAAACAAAACAAAATAAAACAAAACATTTATTGATTTTTATTTCATGGTCATGAGTGTTTGACTGCATGTGTTTTGTGCATCATGAGTGTTTCTCGTGCCTACAGAGTCCCAAAAGAATGAGATGCCCTAGAACAATCGACTGTGAGCTCTCATGTGGGTGTTGAGAACAGAACTGAGGACCTCACCCAGAACAGCGAGGATTCTTAACCACAGAGCCAACTCTCTAGCCCCTAGAACCATTTTTCCCCCTCAGGCTAACCGTATTCAAGAGTGGCTGATTCTTCGAGATCAACAAAGTTTGTCATGAGACCTGTTGGGAGCATTGGCACAGATGAAATGCTAACGGGCTTCCAGAACATTCGAGCCAGACATTTTAGAAGCAGAAAGGAAGGGTAGCGAGGGCTACGGTGTTTTCCCACAGCATGGGGACACTTTGCTTGCAGCTTTCTCCTCCCCCTAAACTCCCACCCCCAGCTCTCTGGCAGACCCTTGTAGTTCAGTCTCCATTCTAATACTGGGCAGGGCTGGGATGGAGCTTCTTAACTGGAAAGGTGAAGTAGAATTTGGTTGTCAAAAGCGCAGTCTCAAGCAGAACACTGCTCCCTCTGAATCATCCCTTTTGTTAAGGATTAAAAAGAAAAAAGCCACCCCAAAGACACAACCCACCCTGGAGAGTAGAGGTAACTGGGCCTGTGGGAAATGAGGTGCAGTTGGCATCAGGTCAGAGGGTGGGGAAGGGAGGAGAGAGGATGTCCCATCCCTGTGGAGGGTGTATAAAAGGCAGGCACAGCAGGGAAGAGCCACAGTTGTCTCTTGGCCTTAGTCAAGCTCAGCTCCTGTCTGCTCGTTCTCTCACTCTTGCTCCCACCATGAGCTGTCGCTTCCAGAGTTCCTCCACCAGCTATGGAGGTGGTTTCGGGGCTGGTTCTTGCCAGCTTGGAGGAGGCCGGAACATCTCTACCTGCTCGTCCCGGTTTGTTACCGGAGGTTCAGCTGGAGGCTACGGAGGTGGCATGAGCTGTGGCTTTGGTGGAGGGGCTGGTAGTGGGTTTGGGGGTGGCTTTGGAGGTAGCTATGGTGGTGGCTTCGGTGGTGGCTTCGGTGGCGGCTTCGGTGACTTTGGAAGTGGCGATGGCGGCCTCCTCACCGGCAATGAGAAGATCACCATGCAGAACCTCAATGACCGCCTGGCCAGCTACCTGGAGAAGGTGCGCGCTTTGGAGGCAGCCAATGCCGATCTGGAGGTGAAGATTCGTGACTGGTATCTGAAGCAGAGCCCAGCTAGTCCAGAGAGGGACTACAGTGCTTACTACAAGACCATAGAAGAGCTCCGAATCAAGGTGAGGACTCTGGAAAAAACCTAAGAAGGTTTTCTCAGTACAGGGCAGTCTCAAAGGCTGGGCCATGCAGTGTCACAGAGGACCAGGTGTGGATGGAATTCACACTCTTCTTTCAGGGGGAAAAAAAAATCTAACTGCACTACCAAGAGTCTCTACCAAGACCCAAACGCATGCCCTCCATTCTTCGTGTTTATTGGTGTCATTACTCCTGCCAATCTTATTTTTATATGGCTTCCTGAACTGTTACTTGTGATTCAATTGCTGAGGCATTTGGAGACATGACATTTTAAAAAGTCACAACTGGCTAAAACCAGCAGAGAAAAGACGTCTTTATTCATTGTTTATTTTGGAAGAAGCTCATGTAAACTTATTCTCGTTGGGTGATGAGTCAGTGGGGTGTCAAGAGGCAGAGGCTCAGGCTGGTACAGGGCCTGGAAGCCTTCAGGGAGGCCTGTCTGTCACACTGTGACACCAACTTGTGAGAGCAGAAATCCACTAGCCTGGGTCAAACCCCAGTTAAACAGGATGGGCTTTACACGCCCAGACTGTAAGTGTTTGGGCAAGAGATTCAAGCAGATGGGTTTCCTCTTTGCCCATCTGGGAAGCCAGCTCCAGGGACATGGCCAGGACGTGTATGAAGTCACACCGAATCCTTTCTGACCTGAAGGGGAAGGCTCTCAAGACAGTGGCCTCCACAGGCGACAGCTCTGAGATGACTACTGGAAGATGCCCCAAGTGGGTGTTTCCTGTGAAATGGCCATCATTGTTCTCTCCCATGCTGGCCTGATGGGCAATGCTCAGGAGAAAGAAGATGGAGCCATCCTTGCCTCCCGCTTCATGGAGTGTTGGTCCCCGCTCAAGCACAGTTATGAAGCTGAGTTGTGCTTTTCTAAGCACCGCTTTCCTGAGCACCCCTTCTGTGTTTTGTAGATCCTGGAAGCCACCACTGACAACAACCGAGTGATCCTGGAGATCGACAACGCCAGGCTGGCTGCAGATGACTTCAGGCTCAAGTGAGTTTCTTTTCCTCACGTCCTTCCCAGAAGGCTCTCACTTACTTAAGACTCTAAAGTTTAAAGGGATTCCCATTTGAAGGGGATTACCAGAGCATCCAGGGGCAAGGGCCTTGGAGCTGGAGAGGAGTTCAGTGCATGGGATGAGATGCACCTAATATTATTTATGCTTTGCTGTAAGTTTTAAAAACCTTCCAGGTATGAGAATGAGCTGGCCCTGCGCCAGAGCGTGGAGGCCGACATCAACGGCCTGCGCCGGGTGCTGGATGAGCTGACCCTGGCCAGGACCGACCTGGAGATGCAGATCGAGAGCCTGAACGAGGAGCTGGCCTACCTGAAGAAGAACCACGAAGAGGTGAGAGGGGATGAAAGGCCTGCTGTGGGCTGAGCAAGGGGAGCCCTCTGCTGCAGGCTGCCATCGCCATCCACCATCCGATCCTGAAGAATCTTCTGGAACATTCTGCTATCACTCGGAGATAAGGAGAAGGGGGAGCCTCTCACACCTTCCTTTCCTGCTCTCCAGGAAATGAAGGAGTTCAGCAACCAGGTAGTAGGCCAGGTTAATGTAGATCTGGATGCCACCCCTGGCATCGATCTAACCCGCATGCTGGCTGAGATGAGGGAGCAGTATGAAGCCCTGGCAGAGAAGAATCGGAGGGATGCCGAAGAATGGTTCCAGGCCAAGGTACTGGTGTTCCTAGCCCAATAGCCAGGTGGTGTTGGAGGTGGGGGCATGGCCTTTAGTCTGGGGCAGGGGCATGGCCTTTAGTCTGGGGCAGGGGCATGGCCTTTGGTCAGGGCGTCTTGCTAAACCCCAGAACTCCCTCCTGCTTGACTTTCAGAGTGCAGAGCTGAACAAGGAAGTATCTTCCAACGCCGCCATGATCCAGACCAGCAAGACAGAAATCACAGAGCTTAGGCGCACACTCCAGGGCCTGGAGATTGAGCTGCAGTCCCAACTGAGCATGGTACCCTCTGCTATCCTCAACCTGTGACCCCCCAACTACTAGGTCTCCCTCTGGACTGGCTTCCCCGATGACCTCTTCCTTGTTGCCCCACCAGAAAGCTGGCCTGGAAAGCACCTTGGCAGAGACAGAGTGCCGCTACGCCCTGCAGCTGCAACAGATCCAGGGGCTCATCAGTGGCATCGAGGCCCAGCTGAGCGAGCTCCGGAGCGAGATGGAGTGCCAGAACCAGGAGTACAAGATGCTGTTGGACATCAAGACACGGCTGGAGCAGGAGATCGCCACCTACCGCAGCCTGCTTGAGGGCCAGGACTCCAGGTAGGTCCCTGGTACCCTCTGTCTTGGGAAAGTGGCCACAGGATCAGTGTCTGGCAGAGCAGGCAAGGTCTTAGATATCATCTCCCTCTTGTCAGAGGAGGACAGCTTCTGTGTGAGCTTAAATAGTGTGGCAAGAAAGCTGGGCTCGGAGGCCTCCTCCTCATCTTCCCAGCTAGACTGAGGAACTGCTTGTAGCAGATTGGCAGGATTAGATTAGTACCTTTGTATTTCCCAATTCAGCCCCTAGAGGTTTGTTGGTAGACAGGAAAGGAGATGTGAAAGGAACATGTAATCCAGAAAAGCTGTGAGTTAAGATGTGGTTCAACCAAATAAAGCTATTAAGACAGTGGTTTGGGATGGTCATACAGCTGGTAACAGAGGGCCTGCTTGGCTCTATCGCCAGCACCAAGGAGAGAAGATGGTGATTTAATTGCTTTCATATTATTTGTGGAGACCACACCATTCTTGTGGGCTTAGGGGAAGGGGGTGGGGAACTGAGTGAACCAGACACCCTAAATCTTGGGACCAATAGTATCTCTTTTTGAGGGTTTTCAGACACACAAATTGGCAAGACAGGTAGACAAGCAGGCAAGCATGGCAGATACCTCAGGGGAAAGAAGGTTCTGGGCTGGGGACAATGTTGAGAAAGATTCCAAGTCAAGGCTCTGGAAAGTGACAGAGTCACTCCATCAGAGTACCAGGGAACACCTGTCCTCAGTAGCCCTCTGCTCATGGCTGTTTCTTTCCTCCCTTCCAGGATGACTGGCTTCAACAACTCAGGAGGTAAGGAGGCAGTTCAGTGGGAGGTGGTTTGAGCTGCTCACGAGCTTGGGGGCAGGGGAGTGGGTGGGCTGGGAGGGAGGCAGTGCTGGCTCCTGAGTACAAAGATGGAGGGAATTGGGTGGGACTTGGTTACTCCATTATTGGTTTATCGACTTTGCTTTCAAAACAGATGTCTCTGCCCCATGGAGCTATAGCACTGTCTTAGAAAAGTGTCTTGTCGTCCACCACTAGAGACAATAACAGAATCCCTACCCACGTACCTCTTGGCTATGAAGGAGCTTGGGAGTCTTCCTGGGGTCTTGGCTCAGCCTGGGGTGGGGTTTCTCCAGCCTGAGCACCTTGTCTTGCCTCTGTCTCAGGAAATGGCACAGCTACCTCAAACACCGCCTCCTCTCCCTCCACTTCTGGCCGCCTGGATTTCCGCAAGTATTAACTCGGCCTGGAGTCCCTTCCCTGGCCCTCAGCAACCTCAGGAGGAGAGCCGATGGCTCCTGTAGGATGAAAGGACAACCGATGTGAAGCCCAGTCTCATTGTCCCCAGGTCCCACAGCTCTGTCAACCCCTGGACCCTCCGCCTACTCTCCTGATTGGAGTCCTTCTCTTCCCTCCTCTGCTCTTCTTAGTCTAAATGTCTCAATGTCTCTACTCTAAAGAATAAGTAATTCAATAAAGTTTCCTGATTTTCTGCAAATGTTGTTGTTTCTGGCCTGGTTTCTGAAGGTGGCCTCTGGCAAGGCCTGATCACAGCAAACCCAGAAGACAATAGTACCCATATATTCGTATCTTATCAACATGGGCAAATGGAACTCACCAGAGAGAAAGCAGGGCCAGTGAATTAGTTTAGTATCCCTCCCTGTAGGAAGGCCAGCGATGGAGGCTGGGGTTATTTGTAGATATAGGGTAGGAAAATGTGGGGGACATGTGTAGAGCAGGCTTCCTAGGCCATTCAAAGGGGGAAGGATCTTGGGGAAATAGTGGCCCAGCGCAGGTCTCCCTGCCCCAACCTGCTGCCTTCCAGGTTGATGACTCCACTTTGGCCTGAGATATCCTTCCTTTCTGTTTTCTTTGGCACACCCCAAGGGCTTACAATTTTAAACTTCCCAGCGGACCAGCCCATCACTCACTCAGCACCTCAGCCTGCACTGGCCTCTGGCTTGCCCTGTCTCTGAGCTCCCTGCTCTCTCCTGTCTCTCTAGAGAACTGGGCCAAAGTCATAGCCTCCTCCAGCTGTGTTTATCCTCTGCTCTTTACTGTCTCCTGGACTGCCATGGGCATGTCTGTGAGCTTAAATTACTCACATGTTTGATGACCCTTGCACCTATGTCTCCAGCTTTAGCGTCACTGACCCACTGAGCATAGGGTATCCATTCCTAAACAATAAAGTTCTACAGGGGTCACCCTCTCAGACTGCTTCTTCCCTGTCCCATTCTCAGGGACTTGGAGATCCAAGGTAACATCACTTTGGTGCTCCCTTTGTCTCTGTGTCTCTGCCTCTGCCTCTGTGTCATTATCTCTCTCATCTCTGTCTCTCTGTCTCTGTCTTCTCTTCTTCCACAAGTCCTTCCCATGGACAGAGATTTAGCTCCAATGTCTTTCCTGATTCTAGTTCTCAGGACATGGTACTATAACATCTTCATTGTGCTCCCTGCCTCCAGTTTGCCCTTCACTCAAGCTGGGGTGATGGGTTGAAATTTAAAGTCCTTCTATATCTCAGAGATGCCTCTGGAGAGCTCTATGGCCACCAAAGAAAAACCATGATCCTTTGTAGGCCCACAGGGCCTCCTTCCAGCCCTGGCTCCTATAGGAGCCTCCCAGGAGAACCCCAAGGTCCTGCTATCTCAAAATGCTCTTGGTGAAGCAGGTATGTGTTTTGGATATCTGGACATCCCTTGTTCTACAAAAGACCGTAGTCTGGCCCTCCCCTCTTTCTTTCCAGAACACATCTTTGTATTTATTTATTTATTTATTTATTTATTTATTTATTTATTTATTTATTATTATTTGAGACCATAGGCTGTTCTTACTATGCGGATTGAAAAGGATCATCTTTCTCCACGATGGATAGATGGTGTGGCATGTCTCTGGGTGTTTCCAGGGTTGTACCACCCTACACTCACTTTGAGAGTATGGTCCTAGGGGTAGGGCTGTGTCCTTTCAACTTGGAGAGGGTTTAGTTAGTGCTTGTTGAAGAAAGAGCGGAATTCAATGAATTGGGGACCCTACCTCTGAGGAGACATTTGGTTTTGGTCACAGAATTTTGGCCAGAGGGGTTGGAGGGTCTCTGATACCTTTGCCACCTATCCTAGTTTTCTGGTCTTTCCTTCTCCTTCTTGTTGCTCCTCTAAGTTCCCCACTCAATCCCCGGTATAACTTACACCCTTCCCATGTGCAGGCCATTTGCCGATGGCTTAGGCACACAGAGGTCGCTCAGACCCGCCTAGGCTAGCTAAAGCAGACAGTATCTATGTGCCACTCATCCTAGAGCCCATTCTGTTCTCCACTCTAGAAGGAGGTGGGGACTCTGGTCATGCCCAGTGGCCGAACTCTGCCAGGAGCTGAAGCATTACAGAAAATGAGACCATGCCCTTTGCTCCTAAGCCTTTTTGGTTTTTGATCGATCAACTTGTTGAGGCTGTAGCTATCCATCAAGTGCTACTGAATTCTTGGCACAGGATTAATTTTGGAGATATATAGATAGATAGATAGATAGATAGATAGATAGATAGATAGGGAGAGAGAATGTCTTTAAAGGCGTTCTCCGACAAACAGGAAGTAACTATGAGCACTTCCTTTCCTGCTAAATTGCTACCTGTCCTGTAGGTTAAAAGTTGAGGACTCGGAATGATCTGACACACAGTTAGTAAGAGCTCACCAAATAATACTTGTGGTCATGACCTTTCTGGTTCTTTGGCTTCCTCTGAGATAGAAACAGTTTTAGAGCCATCCACATCCTCATTCCTAATTTATGTATAAGACATGAAAGAATATACTAGATGGAGGATGGAGGGATTATGGAAAATGGAAGCAAGCCTACTGTATCAAGGACAGGAAGGAATGGGGGCCCTGCCTCAGTCAAGGGTAGGACTTCTCAAAACTGAGCTTCGCTGGCTGGTTCTGATCCCTGAGGCCAAAGCTTCCTTCCTGTCTTGGTATTGACATGATCCATACAATATGAGGGGAGTCATTTAGGTGGAGCAATGACAGAAACTGGAACCCTAAGTTTGGAAGGGGACTCTATCTGGCCTGGGAGCCTTTCACCTAGATCCCAAGAAGGACTGTGGGAATCCACAATTCTGTGTCCCCATGAGGTGTTTTTTTGGGGGAAGTTGGGTGGGGCAGGTCTGGAGCAGTGTTTCTGTCGGGTTACCCTTTCTGAGCTGGGCAGAAGGCCGACCTAGCTCTCTGGTCTGAGAGGTAGGAGGGGTGGGGTTGGGGATCCTGTCTTTCTGCCTAGGACTCCATCTGTCACTTTAGTCACCTGGGTAGGGTGACACTTGAGGGAGAAAAAAAACTGCTGGGTCAACACTGCCCCTCCCTAGGGGGTTGTCCTAGGTGCCCAGGCCACCCCAGGCTCAGTGGCTGCTTCCCAGAGCTACGGTAGTGAGCAAACAGCCCTGACCCAGTGGCACCTGACTCACATCTATGTCAGACTGTGGATGAGTGTGTGTCAAGGCTGGAGACTCTAGAATAAAGGGCTATACCGGGCTGGAAAGGACAGCACACTGTACATTCCATCCTCTGGCCAGCAGCTGTATGTCACCCCAAGAGCTGTCATTGTTGTGTTTCACCCTCCACACAGGAAGACCAACTCGGACCTTCTAAGTGACCCACCTAGTTCAAAAGATAGGACCCGCAGTTCCAAAATGCTTCAGGAGACACTGTTGGTATTTTGTCAAAGGCCGTGTGTTCACCTCCAGTAATGTGGGGAAGGAGCAAGACTCCTAGACTCCAGTGCCCAGGTGACAAAAGAGTCAACCAGGGTACATTCTTGTGATGTCCAGGAGCCTCAGCGATAGGTCAGGTTTCCAGGTGGGTGTTGGTGGATTGGTGGGGAAGCCTGACATATGGCAGGCAATGTATCATGGTGGTTCAATGCTCCTGGCTTCTCACCGTGAGCAAGAGGTACCTCCCCATCTTCAAGGCTCCACCCTTAGTTAATGGACCAGTGTGTGTCTACTCATCCTATGGGGCTGCCTGCCCTGCCTTGGCCCTGTAGAGGGCAGACTCATGCCAGAAAGCAGACCAGGGCCCCTGGTCACCTGTTGGGACCCAAGGTAGTAGAGGGGCAGGGCCTTAGATCTGGTCCTATCAGGAGGCTCTCTCTGTCTGTCCCCAGCAATGGGTGTGACAGTCAGGCACTTGGAGAGCAAGGTGAGGCAGAGGGCGGAGTTCTGTCACTGAGACTCCCTGGATACTTGGCTCATCTATTTTGGGTGACAGCTTTGACCACCCAGACAGGGGCATGAGACTGCCCTTGCCTTCCTGAAAGAGGAATCTCACTGTTCCACTGCAGAAAAGCCTGCAGTAAGGTTGAGAAGGGATTGTCATTGCAAGGTTGTAGTTAACAAGGGCTGATGATATATTGTCACAGAGTTCCCCATGTCCCTACTGAAACCTCTTTTCTCTTCCCACTTTTTGGGTTCGTGTATCTCAGGGAGCCTATGTCCTTTTGGATGGTACTCTTGGGGCTGTTGGTGGTTGGGGTATAGCAGGGTATCTGAACTATGTTCCTTTGAGCAGCTCCTTGGGAACTCTGGGACAGCTGGGCACACTGTGCCCCCTCAGGGAGTTTGGAAGGGGACAGGTGGATGGCTGCTGAGCCTCATCCAGGCATCTGCTGGGGATGGGCTTTCGGGAAAGCTGGCACAAAATCTGTGGCCAACTTTTATGATTGGTCATAACAGCCATGCGGCTGCTTTCATGTGAGCATTTCAGAGAAGCTTAAAAGTAAAATCTTCAGCATGCATGGCAGTTAATGATAGCCCTGAGTCCGTGCCAGGCCTGGCCACAGACATGCTGCTGTTAGCAGGAGGGGTGCTGCATTGTGGACCACATAGCATCTGTAAATGCCGGCTGCTGAGCCAATCAAATGAGGTGCTTGGAGGGGGGAGATTTACTTTGTGGTTCAGTTAAGTGTTACTTGAATGGAGGGGACGCGGACACTGAGGTCCCTGTGACAGGGCATCTCCCATAAACGGCCGGTTCTTTAAACGCACTGGGGAAAAAGGCAATGCTGTGGAATTCTCAGACCATAAAAGCTGAGTGAGGGGAGTAAGGGCCCTGTACTTCTGAGCAGAAGGCCATGTTCTCCAGATGGGAGCTGCTGGTCAGCATGGTTGTGAAGGAAGAGCTGGTCCTCAGGGGAAGGGGCTTTGGGCCCTGAAACATGAAAGCAGAACATGGCCACAGGAGGACTGGAAAGGTATGGCTTTC